CCAGATGCTGTATCTTCTGATAGCCGGGCACCATCAGCTTTCTTCAGCTAGTGGAGTTTTCATTGGCTTATTTTTTTAAAAATCATTTTATTGGCGGCTCGTACAACTTATCACAATCCATACATCCATTGTGTCAAGCACATTTGTACATATGTTGCCATCATCGTTTTCAAAGTATTTTCTTTCTACTTGATCCCTTGGTATCAGCTCCTCATTTTTCCCCCTCTGTCCCTCTCCCTCCCTCCACATGAACCCTTGATAATTTATAAATTATTAATTTTTCATATCTTGCACTGTCCGATGTCTCCCTTTATCCCCTTGTCTGTTGTCCATCCCCCTGGGAGGGGTTTATAGGTAGGTCATTGGCTTATTTTTGGAAGTAGATCACAAGGTCTTTCATCCAAGTGTATCTTATTTGCGAAGCTCCACTGAACAGAGGCTATACATCAGATAGGCTTAGTATGTTCTTCCTTTTTGGTTTTCTAACTGTAGGTCTTCGCACATTCCATTATAATGTCTGGCTTTGTCTTTTCGCACTGCCCTTTCAAATGTTCTCTTCAGCTCATTTTGTCTGTGCGCCTTAGCTCCGCTATGATTAAGAGCAGTTTTAGAGTCTCTTCTGACATCCACTGTGATCTTGACTTTCTTTCCTGTTTTTGTAATGACCTTTTGTTTTCTTCAAGTATGACGTTCTAGATGTCCTCTCACAGCCCATCAGGCCTACTGTCATTGATGTTCAATATAATTCAAGGGAATTAAGAGGAATTTAATGGAACACTAATTGAAATGTTTCAACAAGCTGATGAAGCACTAAAAGCACTCACTTCACTAGGTCAAGAAATTTGGAAGATAGCTACTTGGACAGCTGAGTGGAAGAGCTACATATTTCTGCCCATTCCAAAGAAAGGTAACCCAAAGAATACTCAAAATATTGACATCACATATAAGTAAAAATTGGCTGAAGATCATCCAACAACAGTTGCAGCAGTACATTAATAGGGAGATGCCACAGGTTTCAGACCTGATTCAGAAGAAGACATGGAACAAGGTATATCAATACTGATGTTAGATGGATCTTGGCTGAAAGCAGAGAATACCAGAAGAAAGTTGTTTACTTGTGTTTTATTGACTATGCCAAGAAAACAAACTATGGATAGGCTGAGAAGAATGGGAATCCCAGAACACATCATTGTACTCGGGTGGATCCTATAGATGGATCAAGAGTGTTGTGACAAGAACAGGGCATACTGCTTGGTTAAAATCGGAAAGGCGTCTGTCAGGGTTGTATCCTTTCATCATACTTACTCAGTTTGTATGCTAAGTAAATAATCAGAGAAGCTGGATTAGATGAAGAATGTGGCATCAGGATTGAAGGTAGGCTTTTTAACAATCAGTGATTTGCAGATGATACAAGCTTGCTTGTTGAAAATGAGGACTTGAAGCACTTGCTGATGAAGATCAAAGATTGCAACCTTCAGTGTAGATTACAGCTGAACCTAAAGAAATCCTCATAACTGGACCAATAGGTCACACCATGATAAAAAAGAGAAAAGAATGAAGTTGTTGAGGATTTAATCTTGCTTGGATCCACAAGCATTGCTCCTGGAAGCAGTACTCAGGAGATCAAATGAGTCATTGCATTGGGCAAATCTGCCCAAGACCCCTTTAAAGTGTTGAAAAGCAGGTGTGTTACTTTGAAGACTAAGGTGCCACCTGTCCCAAACTGCTATTTTCACTTGCCCCATAGGGATGTGAAAGTTTCACATTGCTGAGGAAGACCAAAGAAAAATTTATGCAATTAAATTGTGATACTGGTGAAGACTCTTTACCATGAATTGCCGAAAGAACAAATAAATCTGTCTTGGAAGAAGTACAGCCAGATTGTTCCTTGGAAGTAAGGATTGTGAGACTTTGTCTTACGTACTTTGAACATGTTATCAGGAGAGATTAGTTCTTGGAAAAGGATTTTGATTGTAGTACATCTAATGCTTACATAGATCAAATTTGGGACAATTGCTAATAACGTTGAATCTCCCAGTCATTGTTGAGTGTTGCTGAATTCATTCTGACTCATAGGATCCTTACATGATGGAGTAAAATTGCGCCATGTGGTTTCCAAGGCTGGTAACAAATTGCCAAGTCTTCCCTCTTGAGGAGTGGCTGCTGGGTTAGAACAGCTGACCTTTCGATTAGCGCTAGTGCTTAACCATTGCACTACTAGGGCTCCAATTCCAAACACAGAGGAGTTCTATTTCTCCATTCTATTTATTTACTTATACAACTATC